AAGATACACGTAAAGGAAAAATCATTTTAAGCATCTATTTATACGTAATTTGTTCTTTAGANTATATATATATACACACACAATCAATGATTATATCACTAAGTAAAAATTTCGTTCGGAATACTTAAATTATGTATTATTACTATTTCGATTGAAAATCTTCGTTCATGTAAAAAAAAAAAAGTTCAAAGAAATATGGTGTTCGCTTAGTAGGTTAATATAAATTTTAAAAAGTTGGAGGACTTTATTGTTTAATAATTTGAGATGCATTTTAAAATCGTATAATTTCATTGGAAATTTCGTCTATGATGAATTTAGCTAGACTGATATTTTACAAAATACACTTGTTTATTCTTGATTGATTTTAATATAGATCAGATAAAACAAAAAAAAAGGGCTGCATGACTCCTTTTATTAAGTATAAAATTGTTTATTTCTTATGTCGGTTTTTCGACATTGACGCGTGATTATTCTGGGCATAATTCAAATAAAGAAATTTCAAAAAAGTATTATATTTAAATTCACATTTCTCAAGAACTATTTGACCTATTCTGTTCAAATTTTGCATTTTGTTATTTAAAATTACTTAATATATAACGAGGTAAAGATATGCATCCCTTATAATTCAGAATTTCTTCCCCTATTATTAAATTAAATAATAACAATTAATAAATTATCTTAAATTGTACTTTACATGAAATTATCTGTCTGCAAACGAGTTTTTTGATTGTATGAAAAAATAAATAAATAAATATAAAAATTTATTCACTTTAATAGTCCCAAAGATATAAGCTACTAGGTTTAATAGCTACGGTTTCAAAACCATTTTTACTTCTTAAAAGGTTTTTCACCACTATTCATAATTTTGGGAGGAAAAATTTTGACTTATTTCGAAAGTTTGCGAAGATATTTATATAAAAGACAGGCTTCCTCCATATTCACTAACTATATTCACTAATTTTATTTAGTTAATATTAATTAAAAAAAATATTGTCCTATTTTAATTATTTTTCAAAGATATTAATACAAAAATTCCTTTTGTAAGTTTAAAAAACTTTTAAATGCTTCTCACTCAAAACTTATTCTATGTAATAAATTTGTACAATCTTTTTCAGACCATAACAGAATCTGTAGATTCATTACATGAAAGTTTATCTGTTTCTGATTCCATATATTTCAAAAACTATTTCATGCGTAATACTTTTTTAATCTTTAATTTTTTCATGAATAAATTGAGTTTTATAAATGTTGTGTCACATAAATGTTTGTGAAGCCTCTAGTTTTTATGACTGAGTTTAGAATAAGAGCACTCTTTAAAGTGAAATGTATTTTTATGAAAATAAAGTACAGGAAATTCTCAATCATTCGCTGAGTTATGTAGCACGACAACTGCTGATAAGCATATTTTGCAAATAATCTACAATTCAATAGCTTTCACAAATAATTCAATCTCACTAAAACAAAATATCGAAGATCAGAATCTCACTAGGACAAAATATCGAAGGTCAGAATCTTACTTGAACAAAATATCGAGTAACAGAATTCTTTCCGAAAAAAAAAAAAAATACTAATAGTATTTAATAATAGTACTAACTATATTTTGTGCTCGCTGGTTTTTATTCCAAAAGTAGACCGTGTATTACTTGAAGTTTACTAAGTTTAAAATTCTAAAACCGCTTAATAAAAGAATATTGGATAAGTGCTTTTTTTTAACAAGATCTTGGTGCCTTTATACCAATAAATACTGAAAACTAACATAACGAAGTTGACAATGTTTAAATAACAATAATCAAAATCCAAACCTTCCAAAATATTGCAACTCATAAAATCTTCAGGAGCATATTAAGATAATTGATCTGAGTAGTTTCATGAAAATTTCATTTCTTGTACTTTAATCTACTATTAAAAAAAATAATGAAGCTGAAATCGAACTCTGGAGGAAAACAGAGGAAAATGTGTAATTAAGGTTAATAATCCACCATATCAAAATATTGGAGACATCTCCTGCGAGTAATTGAAGTATGTTGAAAGAAGTTACTCTGACAAAATTTATAAATGCTAGATCATTCTGATAATCCGATCCCGTTAATGCCGATAATGGTTGATCGGCTTCATGATGGGCGTTGATGCTTAGGTATAATTTCCATAATCGCCATCATTATCATCATTATCATTTTTTCACATAAATAATTCCCAGCACTAAATCAATCTAGAATCTAAAGTTATGACCAAGAGTAAGTTAGAAAATTATACATTTTTTATAGTTTTCGGGAAAAAAAGAACTGAAACTAACAATTATTTTACTTTCAACACGATGTATAAGATTTTGTGGGTAATTATGTAAATAAGAATACGCAAAATTTATGAATAAATTTGATTTTTCTTCATTGGAGCAATGATAATTAGAGCAAAATCATTGTTTTTATTTCAAACTAGAAGCTTTAAAAAAAATGAATGTAAAGAAACACAAGAAAAATTTAGTAAGTACTATTTTTCGCACACTTCAAGGATTTCAAGTATGTTGCTAAATCATTAAAGGATTTTGATAAGAAAGTTTAAAAAAAATATTATTTTCACAGTTTTATCTGGAACTATTAAGATATTATTCTTAATCTTAATATCTAAAAAATTTCTGGAAACAAAACAAAAAAGGAAAAACCAAAACAATAGAAAATAAGGAATAATATACTGGTTTAAAGTATTGCTAACTTATTTATGTTGATATAATTAACTAATTTCTGCAACTATCGATCTTATTTGTATAAAAATATAACTACTCACAGCAAAATAATAATTATTTGAAATATAACCTTGTTTTCATTTAAGGAAATAATAATAAACATGAGATTGTTCCAATTGATGAATTGTTAGTTAGTTTTTCTTGATTTTCTAAAATGAATTGGATTTAGCTACCTTAAAAATAGGTTAAATATTTTGAGGCTTTAAATTTAAAACTCTGTAACGCTAACTTTATATTTTCTTTCATCACCTCTAGTATTTTGACTTATGACATTTTATCTCGTTTTAAGTAAACCAAATTCTCATAGCACTAATTACGAATTGTCTAAATACGTAAACACATTGAAATTTAGATATCTTTTGTTGCTACGTAATCTAAAGATATGTGTAAGTAATTAAAAATAACTTTCGTGAAAGAAACTTTACTTATTAACCCTTTTTATTAATTATTACTTGGAGCATCGTTATAAGATAACAAAAAATCTAGTTTAAACTTAAAATGAAAACGCAATTAAAAATAACTTTCTCAAAACAAACTAAACTTTTTAACTCTTACGATTGAATATTACTTTTAAAAAACAAAAATCTAATCATTTATAACTCTTAAGACAGAAATTCGAGTTTACGAGACCACGGTAACAGTTACGATGTGCAAAAATATCAAATTTAAAAAAAAAAAAGTCATTAGTTACAAGATAATAAAAGAAATTTCTATTTAGTTTGAAATGAAAAAGAAAAACAATTAAAAATAGCTTTCTCAAAACAAACTTTACTTATTAAATCTTCTTGTAGATTATTATTTTTAAGAAAAATCTAAGCATTTATTATTAACTCTCTTGTGATAGAAATGCAAGTTTATGAGACAACGATATCGGTTACGATGTACAAGAACATCAAATTAAACTTAAATAAATGTTATCCGTGAAGGTAAAAAAATTCACTTTAGTTTAAAATGACAAACCTTGCGCGCTAGAAAATATCAAACATAAGAAGAATTAACCAGGCAAAAAAAAGTAAATATAATGAAGAGAACTCACTAACGAAGTCACGCAACTTCAAAAAGTTACTTTTGAAATCTGTGATGGCCACCACACCCATAATATTTATGTAATATCTTTTTACTTTGCTTGGTTTATGTCAACGGAACGAGATATGAACGGTCAGCCGTCACCAATTAAATTTTATTTGTCAACTGTGTCAGGCTCAATAGTTTCGTTAAGATTAAAAGGGAAAGACAGCATTAAAACAAAAGTTAAGAAGTCACGTTTTGAAACTCAGATTCAAATCTTTTGACAAGAAGTGACAGAACTTCCTTTGACAACACTTTTTTGTGTTCACAAGAAAAAAGTTAATTTGTTTATCTGATTTTGAACATATTTCTATTCAAATCAGTTATCTCTATCGAGATAACTATGTTTACTTTTTCCAAGCAATGTTTGTTTAAATATGGATTTCAATTTATCATTCACGAGTTGATACTATGAAAGCTAGTTGTTTACTTGTTGAAAAAGTTGTTGTTGCAGTGTTACTTAAAGAATTCAAATTGTTTTTGAAACAATGATGCAAAAATGTGAATTGTTTGTAAAGCAATTTTTTACATCGAAGATTGTTTGTAAAGTAATTTTTTTACTTAGATGTATGAATTGTTTGTGGATAAATTTTTTTGCAAGGAAGTATAAATTGTTTGTGTAGCAATTGTTAATGTAGAAGTGTAATTGATTTCTTATGTTCCGCTACACAAAACCCATATTAAACACTTAATCATAATTTAAGAATTATATAGTGCATAGTTTGCTCTAAATATTTATTTATTTACTGTAAATGACTTTTTACTAACTTTTTAAGCATAATTTATTTCTAAAAAGCAGACTTAATAACGCCACTTATTAAAGCAGCACTTAAATAAAGCCACATGTAGCTAAATTTAATTATTTGACAAATAAAAAATATAATATCCACAAAATTTGAATGTAACGAGGAATTAGTTTAAATTTTTTTCAGAAAAAAAAATCACCCAAATGTTTGCATTTTTGTAATCTAACATTAATTAGTAAAGAAAAATAAATGCAAAACTATTTGATTCAAAAATAAAATTTTAAACATGGATGATTTGATGTTAAATATGCTTTGATAATTTGACTGAAAGGTGAAGAAAACTCACGATTAAAAACAATTTTTTTTACGAATTTACATAGTAAAATTCGTAACATTTTTACTTTAATTGATATTTAAAGAAAATATGTATTTAGTATAAGGCTTACCTGGAAAATTACAAAAATGAGTTCTCCGCTTCTCCAGCTCAGGATTATTTCGGCGATTATATTTTGGCTGTTGATCTCCTGCACCTTTAGATCCAGAAAATGGGGCAGGATAAGGTGGGGGAGGAGTTTTCCTGGGCAAACTTTCTAAAGGTGGGCTTGTATTAGGTTCTGAAGGAGGTGGCGTGAGTGGTTCATATGGTGTGCCATTTGGTGTGGTGCCATTGTTTCCCAATCTGAAACAAGGCTGCCTTGTTGGATCAGAAAACTGTTGATGCGGATGAGAATGTTGCAGACTTGATGAAGGTATTGATGGAGAACTAGGATAAGCACTTACAGCAGCAGATGGTAATCGAGATCGAAAGCAATCGTCTTTGGCAATTGGGACACTTCCCATAAACATTTGTTGCTGTTCTGGGGCAGTATATACCCCGTTATTAGCACCGTTGACTGTAAATGGACAGTGATTACGAACTAGTTCAGTTTTTACTGATACAGCATCTTGACTAGATGGCATAACTGAATTCGAGCCATCTAATTTATGACGGATACTTGAACAATTTTCCCCAAAAGCAGCGGGCTTAGCGAATACATCGGTTGTACAATCTGCCTTTGAAGTTTGATGAGAATGATAGAGAGGATTATTTGAATGGTTGGGGCTTTGATGAAAACTAGAATTTACTCCTGTATAATTAATTGAACCCATTTCAAGGGAATTACCGTTTCCATTATTGTACCCTATTCCGTTACAATGGCTATTATAACAAGATCCATTGCTTGCATTTCCAAAGTTTGTACCGTATTCTGTATTTGCGCTATGGTAATTTAATCTGATATCATTTGGGTATGCAATAGCCGATCTGTTGAAGTTTGGGGTAAGCTCTGTTGCTGAAACGGCCATTCTACATGACGTATCAGAATAATTGTACATAGATTGGTTACTAGAAGATTGTCCCATAAAATAAGGAGAATTCCCAAAGTGCCCAGACTGGGAATAACTACCATTTATACTACTACCAATCATTCCATCATGTGGAGCACCATTAACTCTAGTTTGGGGCATAAACATTTTCGGTACAGAAAATGTATCTTTGTTATTACTATGAGATTCTTGGAGAGTAGATGTGGAGTCAGATGCCAAATAATCTAAACTTCTTTTCGGAATTTCCGTCTTTTCGCAACTTTCTTCGGATTGTTTTATTGGAAATTCAGCTTCAGAAACAATATTACTTTCTTCGGTAAAAGAATTGGAATCACCATTTAAAAATAAACCACCAAAACTTTTTCGAAATATTTCTATTGTCTTCACAAAATCACTGTAATTCTCTTCGGCCTCAATGTTTACTTTTTTAGCTTTAAAATTTTCTCTTTCAATGGAACTGTTATCAACAATCGAGTTGTGTGTAATATATTCTAAACATTTTCCTGAAGTTTTACTATAAGCTGATTCAGACAAAATAGTTGAAGCATTATTTTTCTCATAACCCTGAAATAAAATGAAAATATATATTAGTTTTGCAGTTTTAAATACATTAATTAAAATAGTTATAAATTAATATACAGTTCAAAATTTACTTGTAAATAACATCTGGAAAAGTAAAACATATTTATAAGTTATTGGCATCATCTCTAATGGGAGGTATTCATGTTATATAAGAATTTCATTAAATATTTTTAGCATCTTAAGTTAAGAATATGTGTTTTATATGTTTTAAAATTTACAAGGTATTTTAAATAAACTGAGAAAGAGACAAAATTTATGTGAAATAATTGGCAAAGTAATACGAAGAATAACTCAACTTTCAAAATATTTCTATGAATCACACATAGCATCGATAATTCCAAGTATTTTTGAAAATATAATTCAAAAAGATTTCAACGACCGGGATAGCAAGAAAGCTTATTTTCGTATTGAAATTACGGAAATAATCAAATTTTTTAAAACCTTTTATTTTCAATGTTTTCTTAAATATTTTATATATTTTACAGTACAAAATACTTTAACTCAAAAGAATAAAAAAAGATGATTTTGCAGGTTTTAATCGACTTTAAAAATTAAAAATATATGTATATAAATATTTACCCATTTTCCATCGATCTAAAATGCAATATGCTAATATAAAAGTTATATTAGCATATTGCATTAAACTCAACATCGAAATTTCTGTTTATTTACCTTTTTGCTTCCGGTATTTAAAGTACTTTGTACTATTGAATTTGATCTACACTGCAAACTAAAGGTTTCCTTTTAAATAAAAATGAAAGCAATAAACACAGAAATTCATAATGCATGTACATATTCTACAATTACATTAAATGCTCATATTTATTTTTTAATATAAATTCAATATTTTGGGTGAAAACATTTTAAAATTTGTCGAATAGTTAGCTATCACATAGTACTGTTACAAAATAATTAACAGACACAAAACAATAATTAATGAATGTCTAAACATTTTCATTTAGCCTTTCTTTATTATTGTTAAATATAATTACTGAAACTGTTTTAATCAGAAATTAACAAACTGAATCTTTTATATTCATCCAGTAAACGAACACTTTTTCAAAGTTCAGTAATCAATAAAATAAGAAAAACATATATGTTTCTTTTTTTATTTTATTTTAAATGATGCAAAGCAAATTGATATCCAATTTTCAGAGCTATTCGAAATGCGTTAATTCTAGATACATGACTTGCATTACTTTTCAAAAAAAAGAAAAAATTATAATGATTGATCGAAAATAAGCATTATACATATTTTAAATCCGCTTTTTTGAGTTTCCGATTTGTAAAACCATGGTAACTTTGCCAAATTTTTAAAATAAGATTTATGATATTCTCTTAAACTCCTGAAGGGAATTTTTTTTTAGCTCAAGGAAATTAAATAAAAAATTATAATAATTAAAAACTGAAAAAACTGTTCAAAGTCTGAAAAATATGACATTTTTTTTCATGGGAAGAAAATATCTTTCACTTTAAATACCGTAAAGTAAAAGGCGCCAGAAGTACCATGCATGTAAAGTTTCCTTCAATGTCTTCAAAGATAGGCTTCCTTCTAAGATAATCTTAGGCTTCCTTCAAAGATAGTCTTAATGACGAAGTATCGCTTACTTTATTTAGATTAAATTTTTCTAAAAATATTGCATAAATAATGCACCTTTTATCTATAGCATTTACTCTTGTAATTAATAATTAAATATCATAATATAAGTGTTTTTGAGTTGAAGAAAAAGTACTGAAATAAGACTACTCTGTAGTCATCGTTGATTAGTAACTAAAAACGTTACGTTCATTCACATACAAAATAGCTAACGTATAATTCCAAAAATAACACTCTTATTGTAGTGTATAAGCATAACAACAGGCATACATGACGATATTTATATACATATTAAGGCAAGTGGAGGTGAATAGAAAATGATACAGATAAAGTATTGTTGACGTTATGAAATTTTTTATTATGATCATAGTCAAAGCAAAATAAAAGTCGGGGTGCATCGTCCGCATATTAATACACCGGAAAAATGAACACCCAAAGCAATTATACCCGGAAAAGGACTCCCATATTGCTGAACAATTCGGGAAGAAAGAAAAATGATAGAAAGGAGACAGACCCACAAGATATTCGCAGAGGAGGGTGCTTAACTGATAATAAACCGAAATCCCCAACCACAAAGCACAACTTGTCGGTGTTTCAGAGCTTAAGCATGTAGGGAAAAAAAACTCTCAGAAGAATTAAAAAAAGAAATACGACATCAGAAGTAAAGATGAGAGAAAGCGGAAGCACTGGAGATGAGACCGGAAGTTAGGGTGGATAAGAGAAACCGGAAGGAAGCTTGGCATCCCAACAAGATGGACAATCGTCCGCAGAAAAATGCAGAGGGGAGGAGGAGTTTTACAAATGTACGGAGTTTTTTTCTTATTATTAATTTTATTTTATTTTATTTTATTTGAACAGGGTGCAAGGAACTACGGCAATTTTATGGTATTTCAATCAGAAATGGAAATATATATTAAAAAAAAAAAAAAAATTATTCGTTGAGCAATAGGATATTAGAATTAGCGAAAATAATCTTTCTCACAAGGAAACGATTTTGCTAAAAAAAAGAAGACTTCATTTTGTCCGATTTGAAACTTGATTCATAAATTAAGTACTTTCCATTTTAAGGATTGATGTATGAAGTCACATTTACTATTTCATAGAAGCAATATTATTTTAATGTCCATTAGAATAGTTTGTTCCAATGTAGTGATCGAAATTTAGACAGTTGATTTATAAATAGTTTATAAGAAGTTTATTTAAACTATTATTTGCTTCGATGTTACCACACAATAAATGTAAAGCACCTTTAAATGAAAGAAGAGTGATATGACCCGCTAAATTTTCTTGCAGAGTCCTAAGTGGTCCTAATTTATGATCATTCATAATCTAGGTAACTTTCCTTTCAAAGGATACAATATATTTATCAATCATGCTTTTTTTTGTTTTGTTTTTTTTGTTTTGAAACTGTATTCACGCTTTTTGTGAAATGTCTGTACCCTTGTGGGGGTTTATTTTTTAGTAAAAATGCGTAGTCTGCGCAAATAACTTGACGTATGTTGTTTTTCGAAAATGGCAACCACAAACCGGCATATTACTTATAATTTCTGTTAGTTACCAAGTTATTAAAGTAAAGCATTACTTTAGTGAAATTGGTCACGTATTTTTTTAGCTCTGAGTTAATATTCTTTTTTATAAACTGCATTGAACAGCCGACCCAATCCTGAGTTCACGACTACCAATTTTCGACTCCTTAGTCTTGTAATTTTGAACCCAACTCAGAGGACAAGAGAAATCCTGGATCAAGCATTAGGAGAAACTTGCCGTCATGGAGGGCTTTTTGATGGAACTACCCCGCATTTGCGTTACATGGAGAGGAAAACCACGAAAACCTGCCACGGTTAGCCCGAAAGCAAGAGGAGGTTAGCCCGAAAGCACGAGTTTCGACCGCAATTACTATATTATAACGTTTTTTTTATATCACGTATGACATACCAATGTGAAAAAAAAATTTACTAAAATATATTTTTAATTCATGAACCGCCATCTTAGATAACAAGTAAACAAAACAAATTTTGTTTCATCATTTTTCTCATTTAAAAACAACCATAAAACAAGAAGACATTACGTATAAATAAGTAGCAAAGAAAACTTAATGATTATGTAAGGTTTCATAGGTATGTAAGGTTTTTCAAGATATGTAAGGTTTTTTAAGTAGGAGGTGGAACCCAAAATGTTTAACTGAAAGTTTAGTAACATAAAAATATATTAGATATTTCTTAACCTTGAATATACAAACTGAACTAAAACTTTTCATTAAAAAAGTGTGAAGAAGAGGCAAACAGTTTAGAAAAATGCTGCAAAAATAAATATTTCCATTTTATAATAATCAAGTTGTTTACACTCTTTCCAAATCCTATCTTCACTCAAAACTGGAAAACTTTTATTTAAGCTGGAATCGTCGATAACATAATGGAAAAATTCTTACTGTTACCTATTTTAAGCTTCTTGGATTTCTATAAGGTCAGGAACCAAGGTCATGAACTCGGATCGAAGATTTTCTTCCTATTTCACTTCTTTTTATGCTTTTCTTTATGAGTTACAGCACTCTCCCCACCGATTATTCTATTGCTGAGTATTACGGAGAAGACCCCCTGCAAAACTCACACCGAATACTAAGCTGTAAATAGTGCACCTTTATGCCTAAATCAAGATGCGATTAAAAAGACAAAAGTTGGTTAGAGCGATCTACAAAATATTAATCGCATCTTGAAGTCTTATCAGTCAAATACTAAAATTTCCTTTCTGTTATGCACATCTTTTTCATTCATTTTTTAAATTTTTATCGAGTTCAAAAATAAATGCATTCAAAGTATTTAGCGCAGACATTAGAAAAGTTTGAGTAAACTTTGAAGTATTAATCGCATCGTGGGGTCTTATGAGTCAAATATTAAATTTTTCATTTCCATTAAATATATATTTTTTTTTAAAAATGTATCGGGTTCAAAAATGAATGCATTAAAAGTATTCATTTAGATAGATTACAGAAAAATGTCTTACCATGCATTTTCACTAAGCTAAACGCTTTTCAGAGATTTCGTATTTATTTTAAATTAATAAAAATATTTGTCTTGCATAAAATTATTTGTATTACAAACTTTCCAACCTCAAAATTAAAAAAGGCTAAGAATTTTCTTGATTACGGTAAAACACAAAAAATAAAACAAAGATTTTCAAAAAATAAATTTACCCATTCATTAAATTATATTTAAGTAGCTTTTTATTACCCCTTAAAATTACTAATAAAGTTTATTTATTGTATTAAAACAAATTGAGTGACTGATTTAGCATTTGAAAAATTAATAAAAAATATTTCTGAAACTTTTTCTGGTTTCCTTAGACAGTAAACACATTTTACTAAGTTTATATTGACCAAGAGCAGAAT